AAAAAAGAGATTTGGTGGGTTGATGATATCATCACACTATCTAGAAATAACAATGAGATCACTACACGTTAATCGTGAGTGAGGTACTACGAAAACACTGTTTAGTATGCGTAATATAAGATTATTGTGCATATTTTAAATGGATATATAAAAAACGGGAGACAAAAAAAATTCTCGCCCTTTTCGAAAAACAGAAGACGGGTTGTGCATATTTTATGCATATTTTGAATGGATATATAAAAAACGAAAGACAGTCAGTTCAATAATGATATATAAAGGTTGTCGCCATTTTTAAAAAATGGAAGACAAAAAAGAAGGGTCATAAGCAACAGTTGCATCCCTTTTTTTTTTCTTTATAAAAAAACTAAGTTGTATTCTTTCTTAATTTATCTATATACTCATTTATCTCACCCTGTTGCTAGTTTATGGGCCTCGTTAGACTACACTTCACTCGAGAGAAATTTCAAGTGCAACACCATTCCGTTAGGCCCCTCAGGTTCATTAATCGCAACGCAAATATTATTAAACCGCGAATACATTTCTCAGTCATTCGTCGTGGGTCCTATCCGACAACGATTCGGGATGTAACTCGCTGGGGCACAAGGCCAGTCCCGACCTTCGTGTTAACCGGCGGGATTTTTTTTTTTAAATGATAGGTGTAGGACACGAAGGTCGGGATTGGCCTCGTGTCGCGGCCAGTTACATCCCGAATCGTTGTCGGACAGGACCCACGACGAATGGCTGAGAAATGTACTGGCGGTTTAATAATATTTGCGTTGCGATTAATGAACTTCAAGGGCCTAGCGCATTCAACGTATCTCGAGGTCATTACTACTCCTGCGAGGTAGCATTCGGTACCCCTGWTYTKTTTTTTTTTTTTTTTTTTTTTTTTTTTTTTTYTACGTTTGTCCTAGTTCCCTTCCCACAAAAATGCCTATCGAGGGTGGAGTGTATGGTGTAGTGAAACTAAAATGGAGTGTACAATTTTTTAATGACAATCCGTTTCTAGTGCGGGTGTAGGGATGCCCTTGAGATTTTTCTTTAGTGAAGTGTAGTGGAACGAGTCCCTTCGTATAGTACGGGGGAACACCAACCAACCTGGATCTTTCCCCAGAAACCCACCGGGTAGGTTTGCACCACAACAGTGGTGTGAGAGCAAGGTTGTACGAGCCCCTCATCACAGTAATATTGGGTGGGTAGGTATTGCCGGTGGGGGAAACCGAAGGTGTGAGCACTATGGTCAGTGGCTGCACGTCCCTACCTCCCCCAAACCCCACATTTGCAGTAGCTAATGGTCAATATCGTTGATGCATAGCAACCAACAACATTGGTGAAGGTCCTGCCAATGCTGGTTTGGGGGGCCAACATGTTATCTCTAACTGGTAGAACACCAAGCTTGCCCAGGCACAAAGTGAGGCGAATAAGGATTGAACCCACGAGCTCCTGAATGCAACTTTTGTGCCTTACCAACTGAGGCCCTTTTAAAAGGGCAGTGGCGTTGAGGTGTAATCATTGAACTGATTGGCCCGATAAATGCTTAGAATTGTAGTAGTGTACTCATAAGTTTCCAGCGGAGTTCAAACGCAGGTCTCTGTTTCAACAGTTGAGGGGCGTACCACCTGAGATAGGCCAGTTGGTTGCATCCCATCTCCTAAAAGTTTCGGGTATGAAGAGGTGGTAAAGGTGGTAGTTTCTAGATGCTTGGTGTTGCAGCGTTTCGAATGAGCCTTGCAATTTTTGTTACGCCCTCGGTATCCTTGTGCTGCAACTGCAGCCTGTGTGGTCTGGGTGGTGTGCACGTGGGGGGGGGGGGAAAGGAGATGGAAAAATTACAACCGTACCCCACTACACCCAGTGACAGCCCCCAACTTGCATCTATACCCGGACCCCACTCAACTTTTCATAGTACCTACTTTTCCCCTCCGCCAAATCGTAGGTATATCCAGTCCCACAGGCGCTGAGTTTCAGACAACGAAGTTATGATTTATTTATTTATTAATTATTATTATTATTATTATTATTATTATTATTAGTATTAGTATTATTTCAAAGGAAAGACTTGTATATGTATTGCAAATCCTTGGGACGAGGCCGGGACCTCAACAATTAAACTCGGAGTTATCCTGGCAGCCTCAGCCAGTTTAGCTTACGACCAGTGCTCGGTAACCCATCCCATTGTTCAAACTGTCATCCTCAAAAAGGCTGGAAACCAAGTCCAACATCCCTTCCTAGCCTACACTTTACAAGATGACTCTTTAAACCACCAGTACCTCCGCCAGTGTTGGGAAATTACGATGTTTTGGTTAGTACCCGAACTTTTTGGGGTGGGACACAAGGTCGGCAATGTCCCATAAATTTGAATTTTATAATGACGAAAAGAGGGGGGGAAAAAAATATTTTCTCTACTGCAATGATGTCGGGCTGGGTAGTCCAGGAGGCCGTGCTCACAATTTTCCTCCACATAATGCACCTTATAGGTAAGGCGGTCACATTCTGAATG